TGGAGGATGGCACCACCAACGAACCCAGATTAGATTAACAAAGACATCTTTTTTGAGCATTTATCTTAGATTAGATCAGCCCTGTGCTGCTATGGGTCAAGCTGTTCTCCAATGGAAGCCTCAGGTCCAAACTCGCGAAGTGCAATGTATAATTAGGTTATATGCAAGTTGAATAAATTGGGTTATAACCATATCCGAACCTATGATGGCTTCGGATCCCATGCTCGGGTTAAACTCCAGAGGCTCATTGAGCACAGGGACCTTTTTATCACCTACTTGGATTATTTGCTACAATACTGGTTGTCGGAGGCCTCCTATTGTGCCTATTTACCACGATTAGGTGGGGATCAAAATTTATTGTCCCCACAGACAACGCCAATGTTCCGATTTGATTAATCAGGATGTTCAACCTAATGGTTGGTATGTTTCTGTTGGATCCGTTTGTCCTCTCTCAGGTACCTATGAGGAGGTACCCTAGAGATCAGCGGACCACTGTGCACTATAATATAAACGGCATAGCCAAAGGGTGGGGTGTGTGCATAGTGACAAGTTAAGAGAGAAAGGATTTTGAGTGTGTGTACCTTATTAGCTTAACTCTTTATTTATAGATGAGTTACCAGAAGTGAACTTTTGGGCCTCTTAACTAGGAATATTAGGAGTCCAATCATTGATCATGTCGTAGTAGGATTAATATAATTAAAAAATATTTCTTTAATTGTCCTTTTAGCCGTTAGCCCTTCTTATATCTTCAAGAATGTGAGCCTCATGTCAACAACATTCCTTATCTCCCGATGTTCCAAATCTGCTAACCGATTCTGAGAAGTATGACTACATGTGATAAGATGTTAGTCGTATTCGTATCTTAATGGAAAGTTCTATATGGCTAATTTGTACCACATTCCCTTAGATGGTCGGATGCTCAGTTTAGAAAAGAACAAGACAATGATTGCGGTTTATTTTGAAAATTAATTAATGGGTGTAAAGATGAAAATGCCTTTTCATCATATGGCCTTTTAACTTCTTTAGTGTCGTTCGCTTTTCTCTTTTACAAAGCGTTTATTTCTTCTTCCCAAATGCTTTGTTACTCACTTGTCTAAGTGTGTCTCTTTTCTTTAAAGTAACATCCTCGCGTATCCAAATTTTCTAGGCAAGCCTTCTTTATATATATTTGTCATTATTGTTGTTGTTCGAGATTTTCGTAAGAAGGTATTATTTATATGGACTTTTTAGGGAGACGCATTTCTCTACTTTTCATAGGGACACTTCTCGTTTATAGGTAATACTTCATTCCCCTCAAATTCGTCTTTAATACTCCTGAAAATGGGTGATAATTGTGGGTAGGTGTTGGGTATGTACAAGTTTGAGCGTGAAATACTCTTTCTTCGTTGTTTGAGGAATACCCACTGGGTATTGTTTCGCGGTGGTCGTTTTGGTAGATGAAAGATTATGCTCTCCATTGAGGGAAGGAGGTCCCCCTCAAATATTTCTTTATCGCTGCCTCTTCTTGGACCTTGGTGTTCATTTTCCCTTCATTGCCCTTCAAATAGATGCTCTTTCCAACCTTGAGGTGGCATCATCCCAACTTCACCCTAGCGCATGGTGTTTTCTCCGTGTCTTTGAAGTATATGCCAAGCTTACGAACTTGCCTACTTGTACAATATCTTCTTTTGTTTGTTTGTCGTCTTCCAAAATAGTGGTGACCGAGGTTCTGGTGGTCATGGCTGGTTTTCTTTGAAGGCTTTCCCCATCCAAAATAGGGGTGTTTGGTAGAGGAGAAAAAAAAAATTATTCGAAAATCTCAATTTTTAGAAATATGACGAAAACATTCAGTTTACGATAATATCCGAAAATTAAAAATTAAAAAAAAATATCAGTTTCTCGATAATCTTACAAAATACCTTGTACCAAACGTCTCGTAGGAGAATTATTAGATATCAGGTATAAGGGTAGTTTAGTATTTTAATGATATTCTAGATCTCTCTTTTCTGTTATGCTCTTCTATATAAGAGCTCAATCATTGTACAAATTAATTACCACAATCAATGAAATTAATATTTTTCCTTTTCTCTCTTTTACCTTCTAATATGGTATCAGAGCATTTTTATCCTCCATGATTGGAGGTTCCGCTGCCATCGATTTTTTTTTTCTTTCATCGTTTTTCCTTACCATTTGGTCACTTTCCCTTTCATCTTCTTTCTCGTTTTATGGTTTTCCAGATCTACAGATCATCTAGATTGTTCTAGATCTGTGATTTCTTCATTGTCTTAGATCTACGGCGTTCCTGTGCTAGCAAGCTAGCAGTCAGCAACATCGTCTTCAGCGCTCCGCCGCTGGTTCACCATCAGTGCGTCGTTTGTTTTAGATCTGTCGTCGTTCATTCACCGCCTAGCGATGTGTCTCTGATCTGGCTCGCATCTCAGTGGGGAGGTCTCCCTTCATGCTTGCTCCTCCTCCACCTAGCACTGCTCGCATCGTCCCTTCAGCACCCGTGACAGCCACGCCGCGCCGTCACTTCCCTTGTCAAAGTCTGTGTCGATCTCTTGACCTATTTGTGTGGTTCAGCGTTTACGCCCCTGTTTGCGTTGGATCTGCAGTCGGATCTGTTTTAGATATTAGGTATAAGGGTAGCTTAGTATTTTAATGATATTCTAGATCTCATATTCTAGATCTCTCTTTTCTGTTATACTCTTCTATATAAGAGCTCAATCATTGTACAAATTAATTACCACAATCAATGAAATTAATATTTTTCCTTTTCTCTCTTTTACCTTCTAATAAGAATGTATCAAGTCAATTGTCTAATAGAGTATCTCGGCTTCGATTATAGTTTGCTCCCTCAAGTAAGCAATTTGGGTAGAGTAACGGCTTATAAATGTAATGGATGAGAGACGTTTCTTCAATTGATGATTGTGGATATCTATGGGTGGAAATTATTTTCTAACGATGAGAGAGAGGACTTTTTGAGCATTGTAGTCCTTATTTAATAATTAATTATAATATTGACCTTAATTATAAACTATTTCAAAAATTTAATCTCTCCATAAAACATAACACCAATCTGTCCCTGTTTGATTGTTGACCATCAAGCCTACCCGAGTATTTTTTGAAATTTGTTTCCTACCCGAATAGTGAAGAAAACACCTGAGTATATTTCAAAATTCTGAAAAAAAATGTTTGAATTATTTACTCGAATTGGAAGGGAGCTAGCCAGGTAAATAATCATAGTTTTTCTGTTGATGAAAGCACGCCTCCTAATCCTCGTCACTGTTCTCTTGTAAAAAGAAAGACCAACACCATAAGCGTGAAAGGAATAATTTTATTTTTATGTTTCCCTTTTCCATAATCTTGTTAAGCACAGATCCAAAGTTAGAAGGTCATGGGATGCACCATTTCGAATGAAGACACCCTATGGAAAGTGCTGTGGTATTTCGCCTTGGATGTGAGTGATAAGCGTGGCTTCCCCTATCTCTTCCACTGGAGCAAAGTTAATCTGCAAAATACTATTCATTAATAAATAATTAAAATGATGGATAGTATATATAACTGGGATCGATGAAAACACTTTGTTAGATCCCTCACCTGAGATGGAAGCAGTGGCTGGTCCACATACTCAAATATTGAACCAAAGATATCAATAAAATTTAACTTTGGTTCCTTCTCAACCGATTTCGCACCTGAAACCAAGGCATCAAACACCAACACCATGTTAAAATTTAATCATACGCAGCTTCTACTAGATAGATTAAAGAAAATACACTTTTTATGGGTTCTTCATAATCATCATAAGGAAACAAGGGTCCTGAAAAAACCCCACTTTCATGTTTTCCAGAAAAAGCTAATGATTTTGTTCAATATATGTATAGCTCTCTGCTCTACAGAAAAGTTGGAAATTGTGAAATTTAATGACCCGGTGAAGTAATAGGGAAGCCACAAGGTGAAGAAACAAGTACAAAAATCCTTGAACTTGGAAAGAGGTAACTCAAAGCAAAAGAACCATGAAGACAAAGAACACAAAGTGGCAAGAGAGTACAGCAGTGGATGGTTATTTACCCGGGTATCTCCTTCTTTATTCGGATAAATAATTCAATTTTGTTTTTTAGAATTTTGAAATATACCCAGGTATTCTCTTCACTATCTGGGTAGGGAAAAAATTTCAAAAAAATACCCGGATAGGGGTTACTCGGGTAGGTTTGATGATCAACGGTCAAACAAGGGCAGATTGATGTTATATTTTCTGAAGAAATTAGATTTTTGAAATAATTTATAATCAAGGTCAATTTGATAATTAATTATTAAATAAGAGCTACAGTCAAAAAGCCGAGAGAGAGCCATAATTGTTTTGCCTAGTGGGCCCCACTATTGAGCGCACACCACCAAATTTGTAAGAGGTGAACTATGCAGGGAATTAGAGATTATTGGTGATTGCAGTTAAAAAAAAGTTACATTATACTTTTAAACTAATAATTCAACAAACAAAACAAATTGGTGCTTTACTTTATTTACATACAGTAAGATGAATGATGATCTTAGTGTATGTATGGTTTGATTCTGATTCTTCCAAAGATATTCTTTAAAATTAAATGCACAACACAAAAGAACAAGCCTAGCAACAATCCAATCGATGGACCTAAAACTAACACATACTAAGTAATGATCGTGAGATGGATTTTAGATTTAATGTTACTATATGTTTATACTATCATTTTATTTCCTCGCGGCGTTGGATTTCTTAGATCATTCCCACAATCATCTGCAGCGGATGCTTTTTGTATTTAGCCCAAGATCCAAACACAAAAAGATTAAAATACTTATATTTATTCTGAACCTAAAAGGCTCTTACGAAACTTTCACACAAAGCTTTATTTCCAACTCCATAACCACTACATTATACCCTTTAAGAAAGGAGACTGACAGCTAAAAACTACATTATACCCATGAAAGATAAGGCAACATTTTATTCTCAATAAGGTCATAGAAAGGCACTTCCTCAAATTAAGCAACTACATAGGGTATTTGTATAGTTGGAGAACCTTCTTCCAAGATGGCCTGTTGCTAATATCATCCCACCAAGCACTCACATGCTTCCTTTCTCTTACCATATTCTCTTTTCCCATTTGATTCATCAAATAATGAGCAAATGGGAGATGACTAAGATCAGCAAGGCTGAAGAAATCACCAGCCAAGTACTTGGTCTTGGACAGCCTCTCTTCATAAATGTCAAGCACCTTCCCCAGCTTCTCTTCACTCTCCTGAATAACTTTTGGGTCTGAAGGAAGGCCCAATAAGGGGTTAACCAGGATATGCATAACTAAGTTGAAGATTGGTGGGTTAAAGTTATGGGCTTCAACTTCCAGCCATTGCTCCACAAGACCCCTTTCTTCTATTGTCTTCCCCAGCAAATCAGTACCTTGGTTTTTATACTTTTCTGCATAGTACCTAAGTATTGCCCGAGATTCTGCATAATTAATGAGATAGATTAAAATTACCAATGTTTAATTACATTAGCATATATAAAAAAATGGATTTTATTAATATCATATTGTAGGAGAGTAGTTCTTTCTTACCAAAAACACAATTATGGGTCGAGCTCACTCACTTATAAAAAATAAAAATTAAGCTATACAGAAATTGATAGATGTGTAGAAGAGAGAGCTACTCTCCAATAACATGAAAGTAGTTATTCCCATAAAAAAAAATGTGCAAAATAGTAAATAGGCTAACCATAAAGGATATAATCACCATCTTGAACAACAGGAAGCAATCCAAATGGCTGCAAAAATGTATAAGAAACAAGCATAATTAAATATATATATATATATATATATATATATATATATAAAAGCATATTATTAAAAATTTCTTGAAATCAAAACATATAAATAGAGGGATAAATTAAAAGATCAAGTAGAAGATTGAAGGAGAAAAAATAATACATTCCTTATACTTTATCGATATTTTATTTTTGTCTTATTTTTTTGTAAAATTTAATAAAATTCATTCTAACCATTAACACAGTTAGAAATACTAATAAAACATGCAAACATAAACTTCTTATATAATCACAAATGCACAATTATATAAGTGTCTAACTAAGAATTGGGACATAGGGTGAAATGAAAAAGCTATAAAAGTGCATTTAGAAAAAATAAAATAAATTGAACCTGCAACTTGAGGTATTCAGCTTCCTTATGCTCTCCCTTAAAGCCATCAACATGCACTGTTTCAAACTCAATTTCCTTCTCAATCAGACACACTATCACCCGTTTGGGGCAAGCATAGTCTGGGCCATAGACCTTCACTACCATTGTAATTTGTAGAAAGCAATATTTAGGAAATTTGGTTTGGGCATCTGAGTTACCCTTGTTGCTTCTTATAGTGCCTACCTACACTAAAAGAAATAAAGTTCCAAAAGAGGTCAGCATTCAATGAATCAAAAATCTATTCAATTCATTGAAAACGCTTCGGATAGATAACAATATTAAATAATCTGTAAAAGTAAAAGATTAAAGAACAAACATAAATTATTACCAAACAAAGTATAAATGTAAATTTGTCGAAAAAAATCAAACAGATAAGTTTAGAGATAAATGAAAAATGGACAGAGAGTTATTACTTTCTATAATATGTATCATTGCATAAAAAATTAATAGAGACAACAAAGAAAGACAATAACTAGGAACAATGGCCAAAGTGCCACTGTTGAAAAAACGAATATCAAAATGCCACGCCAACAGTAAATTTTGTCAAAATGTCACGTGGTATATTTTGTTACACTGTGTAGCGAAATATGTGTGCACATAATTCGCTACACAGTTTAACGAAATATGTCACGTTAGAATGCACATAACCAAAAATAACACGTGTCAAACAGGGAGAATTTCGCTACACTGTGTAGCGAAATTCTCCCAGTTTGACACGTGGCATTTTTGGTTCTGACGTGGCATATTTCGCTATACCGTGTAGCGAATTATTTGCACGCATATTTCGCTGCACAGTGTAGCGAAATATGCCACGTGGCATTTTGGCAAAATTTACTATTGGCGTGATATTTTGATATTTTTTTGCCAACAGTTGCAAAATGGTCACCGTTCCCAATAACTATTCTAATTATTAACTTGGATATAAACTGGTATAAAAATCTAAACGAACTTGTAAATATAGAACTAAACCTATAATGGAATCTATAATGAAAAGTAAAAAAGAGCTTTCGCATAAATAGAATATTATTATCATGGGGCATTATTTAATATTATTAAATTGCATTTAATATTTTAAAAGTAAATAACTAAAATGAAGTTTTTTAAATGACATTTAATATGTTAAAATTAAATGACTGAGATAAATATTTTTAAATGACATTTAATATTTTAAAGGAAGCAATTAACTTGGCACATTGGAAAATGTCGACTTTATAAATGGGGTGTCTGTGAAACATTTATGAGTATTGAATGTTGAGTAATTATAGTGGATTTGAAAATAGTATATTAAATGAGGTAATAAATAACAAATGGAAATAGTTCAATTGGTAACGCATGAAGTGGCAAAATGGGACTCCAACCCATATTGGGTTAGGAGTATTGGGTTAGGATTTCGAACCAGCCAACCTCCTTGAATCACCCCGCTTAAGGGCGGGTCAACTATGTAGCATCGATACTGACACGAGACACGTGAAACGACACGACACGAACACTGTGACACGTTAATTCTAAAAAATATTAGATTTCGACACGTTAGGACACGTTTTAATATTAAATAATATTTTTAATTTATGTTGCGTATATTATATTTAATATTCAATAATTTAACAATAAAATAAAGTTAAACTTATAATACCTATTAATTTTGTAAAGAGAGATAAGATATCACAAATATTTATATTAAATTCAATAAAATAGTTATAGTAATCCAATGAATCTAATAGTTAGAAAAAAAAAAATAACGCAACGCAACTTTTGAACCTTTTTTGAGTTTTTACAATGCGCGTTAGAGTGTCGGGGAGTGTCGGAGTGTCGGAGAGTGTCGAGAAGTGTCAGACACGACACGTCAGGGTTTTTGAAGTGTCGGTGCTTCATAGCGGGTCAAAATGGGTTCGCTGCAACAAGGCGGGTTAAGCAATATCATTTATTATACCAGAAGAATTAGTTGTAAAAGTAATAATAAGGGGGGAAAAGGTCCAAATGTGATGGTGATATCAATGTCTCCTTGTCTAAAAGAAGAATGCATATAAATACATAACTTGAATAGGAGATTGCTAATCTATATAAGGACTTATAAAGTATCACATGAACTAATGTCTTTCATGTGTGTTAAGCACAGATCATGATTGGTAATCTTTTAAATTATAAATATATTTATTTCACGTGAGTTGTGTGAAAATTATCTTACACACGTAATATGTCGAGATGTGCAAAATAACCTATAATCAAATTAATTATTTTTTTAAAATATAATTTAAAAATAATGGTTTCTTAGCTTACAATTTCTAATATAAGAAGTGTAAGAACTTGCACCGTTAATTAAGGAAGTTAATTAATTAACTGTGTGAAATTAGGAAATAATTTCATAATTGACCCTAATAACTATTTTGAGGCTTAAATAATTATGGTAAGTGAATAATAATGTTAAAAGTCGCTTTTCGGACGAAAAGTGCAGATACCGATTTTGCTACTCGGTATAAATGTGTACCGATGAAGTATCCCACAAAATTATAATAAGTGCATAAATATTCCTAGAATATTATATAGGACTTGTAAAACAAATTTCAAGTCAAAATAATGAGAACGAGTGCCAGAACTGATACTGGCTATGGAAAAGCGCGTATCGAAAAGGTGCTGCGAAAAATAAAATAAAAATATGACAATTCTGAGAAAAATGAGTAGGTTCAGATTCCAAAGTTTGGGATTAAAATGCTAAGCGTAGCTATTAGTGCTAATACTGTGAGATTAAGTTTAAACCGACTATAAATATTAAGAGGCACATGATCCTAGGTCAAATTTGTGCACCTCTACGTAGCATTTGCTGAAGCCTTGTGACCAGCCACCTTGCCACTCTTTTCCTTCTTCATTTTCTCACCAAAGACACCACCTTTGATCATTGTTTCTTATCTTGATCAACATATCTTGGTGTGAGCTACCTTATGTGGGTGAGAGAACCTTGCTTCTGAGTTGTGAGCACTGTCTAGGGAGAGTTGTTGGGCTGAGTTCTTTGCTTGGGCTTTAGGAACCATTTCCTAAGGTGTTGGAGCTTCAAGGTGGGATCTTTGTAGAGAAAGGACCTTGCTTTGTTATCATTTTTGTATTCTTTACAAGTTTGAGCTGAGAGGGCTCTGAGGTGAGCTCCAAGAGCACCTTTGTTTCTGTTCCAAGCCTTGGTGGTAAGCACCATCATCTTTGCCTTTGGTTTCTTTAGAAAAAATGAAGCCTTGATGCCTGTAATGAGCAAAAGATAATAACTTAAGGTTGTGAAAGGTTAAACACACCTAGAAATGCATGTTTAAGCTTCTGAAATCGTGAAATGAACCACCTTTGTATTGATATCTCGCGGAATGCAGAATCTGAGTTTTGCCGCGAAATATCCGGATATTGGGTTAGAAATATCCGGATATTGGGTTAGAAATATCTAGATATGGATATCCGGATATGGATATCCGGATATGGATATCTGGATATCGATATCCGGATATGGATATCCTGATATCGATATCCGGATATGGGGTTCTGAATATCAGGATATTGATATCCGGATATTGCCAGACAGATATCCGGATATTGATATCTGGATATGCCCCAGACAAATATCCGGATATTCTGGGTTTTCGAAGAACAGAAGATGTACTGTTCATAAAGAAGGCTTTTATGGGTTTGTAGACCCTAGATTGATGAAGTTGAACTTCGGTAATAATTAAACTAAGTCAGAACCAAGGGATTAAGGGCTTGTGGCTTTGTGAGAAGCCTAAAGACATGAAACGTAAAGGAAAGGCGTTGTCTTTATACCGTATGCTTGTTGAGTATGAATATTGATATTATTGTTGGTCCAAACAGATTGTGATTGTGTTGTGTGTGGACTTTGAGCTAGTGTGGACTCTTAACATTGGATAGTTAGCTTGCAAGGTAAGCTTTTGTGTCCTCGATTTAGCCATTGTTTGTTCCACCATGTCCCATGGGGGGATGGTTATATGCATGATGTGTTTTCATGTATTGTGTTATTGAAATGCTATTGAGCTGTTAAGTGCAAATGCTATATGATATGTATGTGGTGTTCCGCCTAGACAGGAAGCCATGGGGTGGTCCTGTGGGTGGGTACAACATGGGCGTGTACTTATGTGGGTAATATATGTATTCCTGCATTTCTCTGATCAGTAGAATAGTTATAACACACATGACATGAATATCTGTTGCATTGCACTGATTTTGGAACTGATATTGAATTACTGCTTTAGAACTTATATTGCACATGTATGTGAGCTTGGGGTGGAAGATCCTCGAGGACCCCTTGTCTTACTGAGATTTTTGTTTAAAGATCTCACCCCACGTTTGGGGCACTATTTCAGGTTCAGGTAATGCGAGGGTTGAGACCTCTAGCAGCAGGAGGCCGGAGCTTAGCTGATTGCATGCGATTATGATGATTTTGCTGGAAGCTGACATTGCTTTATCTTTACCGTCATGATATTTGATTTGAGACTGCTGTTGGGAATTGTTGCCTTATTTGGTGAGCATGGGGCTTGTCCATGCCACACTGCTTATGTTTATTTACTTTGAATGGCTTTGTATTAACTATCAGGATATTCTCCGGACTACGTGTTGTGGATCCGTGAGTAGATACACATTTTATATATGAGGTATTTCAGTTAGCTATCGTTTCGCAATTTACATACAGGCATTGTTTTAGAAATGAATTAAGTAATTCAACTTGGTAATGATAATGACATCATAATTGAACAGAAAAAGATATTCCGCAAATTTTTTTTAAGTGTGGCTTAATACGATGACATGTTAACAAACCGGGTTAACACGGGGTGTTACATTTTACGGTATCAAAGCACTTTCTAGGGAAAAGCCTGTATGTATTGCAATAACTTAGGATGTTTAGTTGCGAGTCTGTCTTGTGTGTTCTCTCTGTTGGATTTTGCTATGATAATGCATATGTGACCACATTGCGTGGGCCTAATCAACTCATTCATTGTGTAACTTGTGCAAAGTCATGGTACTATCTAGGAGGAGCCGTGAGACCACTGAGGATCAGCCGGATCCTGTCCTGACTGCATTGGCTGAGATGCAGGCGGCTAGATTAGCCGATCAGGAGGCCA